GGAGGGGGTGAAGGGAGGGCAGGGGAAGGGGGAAAAATAAGAACCAAGAGACTCATGTACAGGTACAAGATCCCAGTGATGAATGTAACTGTATTGTATACCTAAAATGTACCAATAAACATAATGAAACATAAATTAAGAAATAAAAATAAAAATAAAAATAAAGCCACCACAGTGATCACACACACACACAAAGGAGAAGATGTAGCCCAGTGAAAAGGCCCAGTATGGGGGGATCTTAGGGACAGAAAGTTAGGGTTTAATGGATGCAGAGCTTTAGTTTTGCAAATTAAAAGAATTCTGAAGACAGATGGTGCTAAAGGCTACCTAACCATAGAAGGAACTTAACACTTAGCATGATTAAGATGAGAATTTTTATGTAACATGTATTTTTTAAATTATTAAAGTTTTTTATTTTATTTATTTATTATTTATTTTATTTATTTGAGACAGGGTCTCGCTATGTAGTTTGGGCTGGCCTTGAACTCCCTATGTAGCCCAGGTCGGCCTCAAACTCACAGCAATTCTCCTGCCTCAGCCTCCTGAATGCTGCGATCACAGGCATGCACCACCACACCTAGCTCCTCTGTGGTTCTCCTATATCACTTTTCCTGGAAGGATCAAGAATAAAGTGACAAAATTCCACTGGGTTCAGCGGTGAGCACCTGTCATCCCAGCACGCTGGGAGGCTGAGGCAGAATGACAGCAAGTTCAAGTTCCACCTGGGCACTTAAGCAAGACCCTGTCTCAAGTTTTGTGGGGGTTTTTTGTTTGTTTGTTTGTTTGGTACCAGGGATTGAACTCAGGTCCTTGCACTTGCACAGCAGGCAGCGAAACCACGGAGCTAAATCCCCGGCCCTCATGTTTTAAAAACTTAAAATGTAATAGAGCTTGGGACGTGGCTCAGGGTGCAGGCCCTTGGTTCAGTCCCCAGTAGTTCAAAGAAAGAAAAATAACAGAAGAGGGAAAGACTAGATTCCCTTAGAGAAAATGAAATTCCCACACTTCCAGAATAAATACAAAATAACAACTTTATGAAATGAAAAATCACAGGTATATAAATCTGACTACTATAACTCAACAGAAACTTGTATTTGTAGTAGTTTTGTATTCAAAGTCTTTTACCAACATAAGCAAACTGTGGTAATCCACGGAATGGGCAATCATTCAAGGATGGAAAGAAACAGGCTACCGAGCCCCGTGGAGACACAGAGGGACCTCAGATGCATTGGACAAGCGACAGAAGCCGCACTGCAGGATCCCGACCGTGTGACATTCGGAAAGAGGCGCAGCTATGGCGACAGAGCCAGAGTAGCAGTGGCAGGCAGCGGGGGCAGAAGGAGGGGAGCAGGTGGACCACGGGTATTTTTAGGGCACTGATTCGATTCAAGTGATAGTGAAGCGGTGAATATACATCATCATTCATTAGAGCCCACAGAATGTACCACACAGAGTGACCTGAAAGTAAACTACGACTTTAGTTAATAATAATTTATCAAGCTGGGTGTGTAATGCCAGCACTTGGGAGGCTGAGGCAGGAGGATCACTACATGTCTGAGGCCAGCCTGCGCTTCATAGTGAGACCCTGTCTCAAAAAAAAATAATAATAAATCAATATTGGCTGATCGGGCCGGGGATTTAGCTCAGTGGTTTTGCCGCCTGCTGCGCAAGCGTAAGGACCCGAGTTCGATCTCCGGTACCAAAAAAATAAAATAAAATGAAATAAAATATAAATAAAAACAGATTCTTTTGTCATTTTAAGTCAGCACCGGGGAGGCCTCAGCTGCGGGGACATGGCGCCCTCTCGCGGCGGCGCTCACAATTGCAGCTCGCGCGGAGTCGGCGGGGTCTGCGCCAGTTCAGGCGCTCAGGGCAAAGGGTCGTGGGCGTAGCTGCCTCCTACATCACTATTGTTCCCGAACACGGTGATGTGGAAAATAAAACTACTGTCAAGACTGGATTTTACTACACTGGATATCCCTGAGGCTCTTGCTTTATAAGCACATGATTTACTTTTCGGTACCGGGGATCAAGCTCAGGACCTTGCGCTTGCGAGGCAGGAGCGGCGCCAGGAGTACATGGTTATTTCTTTTTCATTTTCGTTTGTTTGTTTTGAAGCAGGATCTCGCTCTATAGTTCAGGCTGGCCTTGAGCTCGCTGTAATCCTCCTGTGTCAGCCTCCTGAGTGCTGGGATTACAGCCCAGCGCCTCCACGTCTGACTATCATTTGGTTTTGAAATTTATCAAGGGCTCTCTGTCAGGAACTGTGGTACTTCAGGAGTATATACATCAATCACTGCCAAATCTTCCAAAAGTATTTGTCTGCACGGATAAAGGAAAAATAAGGAAGGGGGAAGGGCGGGGGGAGGACGAACCCCGCAGGACATCTGAGCGGCAGCCGGAGGGAGGCGGGACGCAGCCCTGTGCGCAGATGGCACCACCCGGCCTGCTCTCAGCACAGCCGCGGCCTCGCCCGTCACCCTCCAGCCAGGAGGAACAGGGCAGCTGGAGGGGGTTCCGGTGTGGAGAGGACAGGAGGGGAGAAGCGGAGAGGGAGGGAAGGAAGAGGAGAGAGGAGGAAGGGAGAGTGGGGGAGAGGCGCGGCCATGCCCGAAGTCTCCCGCCTGCCTGCCTGCCTGCCTGAAACACCATCCAACCCAGATTGTTCAGGGTCACAGCCTGTCACACAGGGCCTGCCAGAGAACTGAACTTTAAAAGACACATGTCGCTGGGCACGGTGGCGCACACCTGTAATCCCAGCACTCCAGAGGCTGAGGCAGGAGGACTGCCATGAATTGGAGGCCAGCCTGGGCTACATAGTGAGACCCTGGCTCAAAACACCAAAACCCAAACATGTCTTTCTGGTAGAATATCTTCCCCCCCACCCTCTCCTGCCACCTCAACGTGGCGCACACTTACCAAGGGGTACACCTGGGTGCCCTCATCCTTCTGGAACAAGGTGTCCTCTGTGGAGCTGGACACCAGGGATTCCCTGGAGCCTCCTGCTTCGGCCTGGGATCCCATTTCTTCATCGCCAAGGAAGTAGGATATTCTCTTTCTGTGCCTCGCCTTACCCCTTCCTCCTCCAGCGCCTCCCTGTTTCCGGCCCAGGTCTCTTTCTTCCTGTCCCAGTTGGTTCTGGGCCTCACGGTGGGCTCTCTCCCCGAGTTCAGCTGAGGAACCCATCTGCTGTTCCTCAGGATGGACTTGGGCCACATTGACATAGTCCTGGTTGGAGCTGAGGCCTCTGAAGAGTTCGCTCAGTCCAGAACTGTCTGTCCGCAGCGACTGCTTGGAGCCGGTATCTCCAAGGATTTCCTTTATGAAGAAGGAAGAGGCGTGTGACTGAGTATGGTCCCTGCTGCCCACTGACTGTCCTTTGCTGGCCCTGCTCCCTGTCTAAGCAGTAGCCTCACCCTGGAATTCTGAGATTTTTTTTTTTTTTTTTGTACCAGGGATCAAACTCGGGTCCTTGCACTTGTGTAGCAGGCGACGAAACCACTGAGCTAAATCCCTGGCCCTGAGATGTTTTAAAAAAGAATCTGGGGCCAGACATGGTAATCCCAGCATTGGGAGGCTGATGCAGGAGGATCACCTCGAGTTTGAGGCCAGCCTGAACTACATAGTGAGACCCTGTCTCAAAAAAAAAATGCTGCTGCCTCACAAGCACAAAGTTCTGAGTTCGATCCCTGGTACCCCCCCCAAAGGAATCTGCGACATTTTGTACTTAAATTAATTAGGCCAGGGATTTAGCTCAGTGGTTCTGCTGCCTGCCTCGAAAGCCCAAGGCCCTGAGTTTGATCCCCAGTATGGCAAAAAAAAAGAGAAAGAAATGAATCAAAACTGAGTATAGCAGCGGACACCTGTAATCTTAGGACTGTGGAAGGCTGAGGCAGGAGGGGCTCAAGTTGGAGCCTAGCTGGGGCAATTCAGCAACTTAACAAGACCCTGACTCAAAAATTTTAAAAGGGCTAAGGGTATAGCTCAGTGTGAAGGACTGGGTTCAATTCCCAGTACTGAAAAGAAAGTATAAAGAGAGACAGAGAGACAGAGAGATCAAGGGTGTGTTGGATTTAATTTTGGCCTACCAACAGACCCACAGCAGAAAAATCATTCTTCTAAGTGACACTGATGATCTCCAAAAAGCTGCTGGTCACAATTACTTGTCCCTAGTTTGGCTTTGTTTTTTGAGTCTCAATACATTGCCCAGGGTCACCTGGAATTTGCATGGATCCTTCTGCCTCAGCCTCCTGGGTGCTGGATTACAGATGTGCACCACCACTACACCACCAGGCTGAGCTCTCACCCTGGGAGCAGCAGAGACGAGTCAACCCTGTTATTGTCACTCACTCTGTTCTAGAACAAGCCCACTTCAGTGAGCTCCTGCCCAGGCTTTAAAAGTCAGTTAGGTGGGGGATTTAGCTCAGTGGTGCTGCCACCTGCTTCAAAAGCACAAAGTCCTGAGTTCGATCCCCGGTACCAATTTAAAAAAGGCAGCTAAGCGCAGGCCTCCCCTAGGATGGGTGCCCAGACTGTCCTCCAACCTGGGGTAAATTTGCCCCTGTAAAAAAAAGTCCCCAGAAGGATCGCCAGGCTCCTCCTTTGGCTTTGACACCTTGGGCTGGCCCTGGTGTTGGCTCAGCACCAGGGAGTGACTGAGTGAGAGCAGGCGGGGGCCACACTCCCCACTCACCAGGAAGGTGCCCTGCAGGCCGTACTGGGAAGTGCTCTTGACCTCGGGAGTGCGCTCTTCCGAGGTTTCCTCCTGGACCCCGGCAGCCGCCTTGTCCTCCTCCTCCTCCTCTTCCTCCCCTTTCTCTTTCTCCTCTGCATTCTCCTCCTCTTCTTCCTCCCTCAGCTCCTTCCTATCCAGCTGATTCCCTCCCAAGTCCTCCTCAGACTCTCTCCATCCTGATGTGTCATCAGGTGATTTCCGGCACGTGTTTTCTACTTCTTTGTAATTTTGATTATATTCTTTTTCTTCTGTTTCTTTTGCTCCATTTTCTTCTGGATCTGACATTCTTCAGTGTAGTGTCCTTTAGAGAAATGTGATTATAGTAATCAGCAGGCCTGGTTCCGATTCTGATTTCCTAGCTACTGATGTGGTGTGAAATGCCTCCTCTAGTTCCTGTCCCCGGGCATAAAAAGATTGCTAGGGCCAGGGATTTAGCTCAGTGGTTCCACCGCCTGCCTCGAAAGTGCAAGGTTCTGAGTTCGATCCCCAGTACCAAAAAAAAAAATTGCTATATTCTCGGGAAAGCCTGGCCGATTTTAAAAAGATTGACCTCAGGGCCTCTGGTCCTCCTAGGAGTAACTCAGAGCCTCCTAACTCCTGTGTTTACACCGCAGGCGTGGGCGTGGCCTGGCACTCAGTCCCTTTTCTGCTACTGGCCTGCTCTGAGACCTTAGACAAGACCCTTTACCCTCAGCTGCTAACGTGAGGCCCGAAGCTCTCCAACCCGGGGCGGCCGAGAAGCTGGGGGCAGGCGTCGGAGGCTAAACTAGTTTAGCACTGGGGCTTGAAAATAGACGGCAGCAGTCACCAGGGGGAAAAAGCAACTGGGATTTTGCCCAGAAATCAAGCTCCACGCCTGAGACCTTCGCTCGGTCTTTCCTCACAGCGGACCGGAGTTTGGGGCGCTGAGAGGCTGAGGGACTATCCACGCTGGCAGAGCTGGGAAAACCTGGCTCAGGCTCTGAAAAGGCGCCGCTGTCGCTTCCTGTGTCCCCGACCGACCCGTGACGGGCCCGCCCGGGAAGGACGGGGTTGGGGGGGCAGCTGTGTGGTCTGAGGGGCCCAGAGAGCCAGGCGGGGACCCCCGAGGCCTCCGCCTCGGACTTACAGAGCACGCACCTCGTTCCTCAACAGGCCGGGTCCTCCTGGACCTCTAGCTGCCGCCACCTCAGGCTTTACGCACTCCCTAGCTACAGTTGTCACCCAAGCTTCGTCCCCATAGCAACCGCTGCCGCCTTGGGCGTCGCGCCGTAAAGCGAGGGAGCAGCCCAGCAGCTAAGCGCCTGGAAAGCGCTGCGAGCAGAACCGACGCGCCCCCTGCCGGCCGCAGGGATAGCGGGATCAACCTGTCGGTTCTTCCCTGCTCTTTCCCCATGGTGCCAAACCCCTGAGAAGCTGTGGGGGCCAACACCGTCAATTCTGACACCTGTGACCCCACCACTCGGGAGGCTGAAGCAGGAGAAACCCAAGTGCGAGGCCAGCTGGGGCTACGTAGTGAGTTCAAGGCCAGTCTGAACTACATTAACAGACCTCGTCTCAAAAAACCAACCAAACTGGGCCAGGGATGTGGCTCCGTGGACCCATGCCTGCCTGGCAAGCGCAAGTTCAATCCCCGGTGCTGGGGGTAGGGGGATGGACCAAACAAACAAAAAAATCTCTGCCAAGAGCAAATTCATTTCCCTGGTCCCACAGATGCAACACACATCTGTCCTACCTGCCTCATCTGGGCAGTGACAGTACAGAAAATTTTAGCTGGCTGGAACTGAGTATTACAGAAGTTGCACGACCTTGCTGTTTTTATCCAAAAGCACTTCTGCAGAACCAGCCTGGTTCAATCTAGTAGAGCCATCCTGGGTGGAACTGCATCTCACAGAGGCCTGGGCCCACAGGAAGCCAGCTGAAGGAGAGGATGTGGAAACCTGGGATGCTGTTATGTTAGGAGAGGACAAATGATTCCACTCTCCCCTCAGCTGATCCACATGCTCACACCTCAGATGGGCAGGGAGAAGTGGGACTGAGTGGTACCAACTTTATTATCGTACAGACTACAAACTTGCACACACGCAGTGTGAACAGGAAACCCTGGTCAACATGGCATGTCGAGGCTGCCGTGCTTGGGGGAGCCAAGCCTGAGCCAAGCACACGGAGAGGCACAGGCTTCTCCAAGAGGAAGCAGTCTGCAAAACGGGGACAATAAACAGGAGGATACCATGGAGAGGGGGAGAAATTCAGACGTGGAGTCCAAGGAATGATCTTAGCATCTTAACAGAGAAAGGAAGAAAGTGAGCAGCAATTTCAAGAAGTTGGAGCTGTAAACACTTCCAATCAGTAGTGTCAGGCACACCTTAGTTTGTAGAAATGCTGCTCTTGGGATGTAGCTGGGAGGTTCGATTACAGAAGGGCTATTCCAGAGTGAGGGGCCATGCAGGCCTCTGTGGGCTCCCTCAGGGCCCGGCTGCTGAGGCCGAGCTGCAATACTCAGTGCTCTCGTATCCAGGGCGCAAAATTAGGAACAAACCAAGATGCTGCCAGAGCTTGGTGTCAGCACATTGCACAACTTTCTTTAGGGTGTTCCAGCCCCGTCAGTCTTTTGGTTAGAGATGCTCAGGAGAAATCCAGCCAGGGTGATGTCATGGTGGCATTGGCACTGCACAGCTGTATTTGGGGAAAAAGAAATTCCTACAAGAATAAAGTTACATCAGCGCCTTCTGGCCAGCTCCCGCCCACCTGCCCGAAATCCAGAGAATTCTCTTTAGGTGGTGTTGGGATCTGTAAGAGACGCTGAGCACAGACTGTTTAGATGCTGCCCTGAGACGACAGGGGAAGTGCCAGCGTTTCAGCCACCAGACCATCAGGGCTTCCAGCATCTTCCACAGCCTTAGACTTCAGGGAGCAAGGAGAATGGGGGCCCATGGCAGGCCCAGGTCCAGGGCATGGAAAGTGGTGCTCCGGCCGCTGCTCCCCAGGGACAGTCATCTTTGCAGAGGAACAATGTTACAGCTGCAAGGAAAAACAGAGGAGGGGCCTGAGTGAGGCGGCTCCTGGGGAAGACAGCAGGGGGGCCCTCTGAGCTTCTCCCTACATCTTTCCATGCTTTTTGTTTTGTTTTTGAGACAGGGCCTAGCTATGTAGCCCAGGCTGGCCTCCAACCCGTGCCAATCCCCCTGCTTCAGCCTCCCAAGTGCTGGGATCACAGGCCTGCACCACCACACCACGCTCATCCTTTTGTGCTCTTAAAGCCAGTGCCACAGAACCTGAGAGACGGAAGACTCCAGTGCTCCCTGCACCTCTGCGGCAGCTTTGGTTCCACCTCGGAAACTAACTGGGATCCACACACTCTGGGGTCCACACCTGAAGCAGCCCCCTTACCCCAAAAGGCCTTTCCCTGCCCAGCGTGTTGGGACCAGCCGAAGCTGCTGTCTCTCCCCTCTTCGGATCACAGTCACGTTCAGGGGCCTCTGAAAGGGAAACGAGGAGACTTCAGGTTCGGGTTCAGCAACACCCAAGCGACAGGTGCTGTGAGTAGGTGGCGGGGGGCACCGGGAGCGAAGTACAGCAGTAGACTTAGAACCACCATCTGATCCAGCCACTGAATCCCTTGGAAGATAAGGAAAAACTGAGAACAGATGAGACTTCTGTACACCGTGTTCACAGCAGCATGATTCACAACAGCAAAAAGGTAGAAGCAATTCAACCTGATGGATACACACAGTCTGGCCCATCCATACAACCCAGTACTACCTAGCCTTAAAAAGAAAAACGGTATGCTGGGTGTGGTGATGCACACCTATAATCTGAACACTCTGGAGGCTGAGGCAGGAGGATCACCGTGAGTCCGAGGCCAGCCTGGGCTACCTAGTGAGGCTCTGTGTCAAATAAACCAAAAATAAATAAATAAATAAAATTAAAAACTATGTCAGATCGATCAATGTAATCTCTGAGTCTGAAAGAATAAAAGCATTAAGGGGGTGCTCTTGTCCTGTGAGACTGCCACACAGTAAGGCCCTGGCGGTGACACGCATGGGTAGGGAAGGACACGAGCCCTGACACACAAACGAAGAAAATGTGTCATCATCACGCACAGCTTGCTTTCTTCTTCTAGGTACTGGGGTTGCACCCATGGCCTTCGCACTGAGCCCCCCTTTTATATTCCGAGACTGGATCTAATTTGCTAAGTTCCCCAGGCTGGGCTGGAACTTGCAATCCTCCTGCCTCAGGCTTTCAGAGTGCTGGGATGAGAGGTGTACGCCCACCTGCCTTGCCACCATGTGATTTTTTTTAAAGGACAAAGACGCATTTTTATTACCCAAACATAGTTCATACAATAAAATTCACTGCTTTAAAGTACATCCAGAGAGTTATGAACCATCTCTACTTTGAGAAAAAGAAAAACCGCTACTCATTAGCAATCGCTCCCGAGCCCTCCTCCCCTCAGCCCTGGGCAACCACGAAAGCTCCTTTCTCTGCTACAGATTTGCCTTTTGGGGGACTCCATAGGAAGGGACTCGGACAGTAACATGGCCTTTGCATCACATAGCATCACATGGCCTCCATCACATAGCATCGTTTACAAGGTTCATTGTGTTCCAACACTTACCATGTTTCATTCGCTTCATAGATGAATAAAATGTGCAATGTTTCACACCAGAAACAGTATTAATATTTGTGAGGTGCTGAGAATAAGCCCGTGGCCTCACACATGCTAGGCAAGCACTCTACCACGGAGCTACGTCTACAGCTCTTGTTTTTATTTTAATTTTGGGACAGGGTATCACTAAGTTGCTCAGGCTAGACTTGAACTTGTGATCCTCCTGCCTCAGCCTCCTATGTTCTTGGGATTATAGGCATGAGACAGGGTGCCCAGCTCAAAACTTTTTCAAATGGAAGGGTTTTTTTCCTTGAAAACACATGTATTTAATCCAGAAATTGTACCTTAGAGAGCTATATGAAGAAACAGATTTATCTAGAAGAGTTTTAATCTCTATACTTCCACAGAATTGGAATAACGGGTAAGGCTGTGTCTGGTTGTTTTTTTAATCACAGATTGGACCATGGAAACAGATCCCTTCTCAAGCGGGGCTGTGGTTCCAGGAGGAGGGGTCGAAGCCTGAGGGGACAGTGGGTCCCCAGGGCCTTTTCTTTCAAGAAAGGGTTCTGTCTGCTTAAAAACCTTAGAAAGGAGGGTTTTGGGGCCCACAAAGAGTCTGAAAGTATATTTATCCAAAAAACGCAGATTAAAGACCTAAAGCTCCTGCCATTGATCACGGACCCTGGGAAACAACCCAGCTGCCCTTCCCTGGAAGCAGATGAAGAGCCTGTGGGACAGACAAGAAGGAGAAAGGCCTGGAGACAGAGGGTGGGTTGGAGGGACGGGAAGGGGATGTAAAAGGCTGGAGACACTGTGTACGCGCAGTACCTCCCACAACGAATGTCATCATCGGTACTGCAAACACAGACTAGTAACAAAATTCATAATTAAAAGAAGGAAGGAATGGCAGACACAATGACACCGAAGGATGTCGGGCTCTGCTTGCTGAACGCCAGCCAGGCTGGGCAGACGGCATTTCTGGGACACTCGGGGAAGCTGAAGTCACTGGGGGATGAGAAGAGTTAACCACAGAGGGTCTTGGGCAGTTCTGCGGGTGACGGCTCAGTGTCTCCCCTGTGGTAGCAGCAACAGGACACACATGCTTGTCACTGTTTGCAGGACTGGAAAGCATGGGTCTTGTGCTGGTGGCTGAGCAGAACCTAGAGCAGTGACGGCAAACCTTTCAGAGACAAGCACCCAGGGCCGGAGGTTTAGCTCAGCGGTTCTGCTGCCTGCCTCGCAACCACAAGGACCCGAGTTCAATCCACAGTACCGAAAAAAAAAAAAAAGAGCTGTCAGAGACAAGCACCCAAACTGCAAGCCGAAACCCACTTATTTATCCAAAGTGAGGCTTTCGTTTAGAAAAAAACAACTCATACGTTAACATCTTTTGTCTGAAAAGAAAAGCAAATCACATACGTGCCAAAGGCTCCCACCACTGCGCTAGAAAGACACACAGCTGAAGAAGCGGCTGCTCTGGAGGCCGGGAAGCTGGGCTGGCGGGAGGGAGGTGTACGGAATGGATTTCAGTTCTGTTTTCCTTTTTAGGGCCAAGGATTTACCTCAGTGGTTTCACCACCTGCCTCGCAGGCATAAGGACCCAAGTTTGATCCCTGGTACCAAAACAAATACAAAGAAAACCAGTTTTCCTTTTTATTCTTTATTTGAGGGAGGGTCTCACTGAGTTGCCTAGGCTGGGTTCAAATTCACAATCCTCCTACCTCAGCCTCCTGAGTAGCCGAGATTATAGGTATGTGCCACCATGTCTGCCTGGCCCTGTTTCTCTACATATACGTACTCCCTCTTTCAGAATTTAACATGACATGTGGGCCCGGGTGGTGCACGGCTGTAGTCCCAGCACTCGGAGGCTGAGGCAGGAGGATCGCCATGAATTCAAGGCCAGCCTGGGCTACACAGTGAGTTCAAGGCCAGCCTGAACTCCACAGTGAGACCCTGTCTCAAAAATCAAAATCAATGAATTATGCACCTTACATGGATGAATTGCACTGAATGTGAAATATCTCAACATAGCTGTTATAAAAATAATTCTACATGGTTAAAAAACTAAGAGTAACAGAACACTAAAGAAACTTTAAGTAGGCATTAAAGGTAAAAGCCAGAAAGCGAAAAATGATAATTTGACAAAATCAAAAACTGAATCAGCCACCAAGTTCCGAGTGGAAGGTGTGGTTGCAGAGACCCAGGCCCACCTGCAGGGGGCGTGGCCGCTGCCTGGCCCCGCCCCCGCCCCGTCACAGGGTGGGGAGCACCCGTGCACAAGGAGCCAACCCAGAATTTCTGGATGAACTGAAGACTGTATCTGGGACCCAAAAGCTAGCCAATAATTCTTTGGGGTTTTTTTTGGGGGGGGGGGTTGGTACCGGGGATCGAACTCAGGACCTTGCGCTTTCAAGGCAGGCGTGGTGCCACTGAGCTAAATCCTCAGCCCTCTTTGTTTTGGGTTGTTTTTTTGGTACCAGGGATCGAACTCGGGTCCTTGCGCTTGGGCAGCAGGCAGTGAAACCACTGAGCTAAATTCCCGGCCCTGTTTTGGTTTTTTGAGACAGTCTCACTATGCAGTTCAGGCTGGCCTTGAACTCACTATGTAGCCCATGCTGGCTTCGAACTTGTGCAATACTGTTGCCTCAGCCTCCTAAGTGCTGGGATCACAGGCATGTCCCACCATGCCTGGTCCATTTTTTTTGTTTTGTTTTAATAATTCTTCCAGATTTTGAGTCCTATATTCCAACCTTCACAGAAAACAACTGGGGTGAGGGGCATTGCTGGGAATGGAACTCAAGGCCTTGCCCATACTAAGCATGTGCTCTGCCACTGAGCTGCACCCCGGCCCTTACGAAAACATTTTGTTGGTTCAAAACAAGTAAGATCATTAAGTAGAAATATGAGTTAATGGCATGCTATGCTACGAACTAGAAGGCAGCGGCTGATTTTTAATTTCAGCCTTTATATTTTATAGAGACTGAAGTGGTCAAAATGCACCATGACTGAGTTGTAATCCATTCCTGCTAGAAGTGTACTGGACCACAATCATTGCAAACTGTGGGCTAACATTTTAAGTGGGCACACTCAGTTTTTTGTTTTTTGAAACAAATTTCACTATTTACCCCAGGCTGGCCTCAAACTCACAGCCATGCCTCAACCTCCTGAGCACTGGGATTACAGCCTGCACCACTACGTCTGGGCAATATACACACTTAGAGATGCAGGAGCATGTGTCACTATCACACACACTAGAGGTGACAGCATGGCCTAGCACATGGCTGGAAATACCAGGGCAAGTGAGGAAAAGTGTTCGGGGCTGAGGAACAGCGAGTGCAAAGGTCCTGAGCAGTGACAGTCGAGAGACGGCACAGGAGGAGGCTGCGAAGGCCCCGAAACCCCAGGGCCACAGACAGACACTGGGTGCTGCAGCTCCCAGTCTGTGCCCTCCTCAGGTTCCCATGCCGACACCCTAACCCCCAGTGTGAGGACATCAAGAGGCAAGCAGGGCACGGTGGCACACAGTGGCTACTCGGGAGGCTGAGGCAGGAAGATTGCAAGTTCCAGGCCAACCTAGGCAACTTAGCAAGTCCCTGATGCAAAATAAAAAATAAAACAAGGGCTGGGGGTGTAGCTCAGTGGTACAGCACCTTCAGATTGATCACTGGTCCTGCAACCAGGAAAGGAGGAAAAAGGAAAGGCAGAGTCGGGCCTCTGGAGGGTTTAGGGCACCTGACAGACCCCTTGAGCCCCTCGGCCTCCACCCACGAGGCACAGCGAGGGCCTCAGCCGCCTGAGCCTGCCGGAGCCACTCACCCCCTGGCTGTGCTGCACCACGCTGCCCACGTTCTGCAGCGACTGGAAGTTCTGTGCGTTCACGGAGCCGAACTCCACGATCTCATCGTCCACCTGCAGGCCCTGAGAGCAGAAAGAATGGAAGCAGGCAAGAGGTTACATGTGCTCAGTGGGGCTCTAACCGTCAACCCTCGATTAATTACTGAATTAATTTTATTTATTTTGTTGTTTTTTTGAGACAGAATCTTGCTATGTAGTTCAGGCTGGCCTTGAACTCACTGTGTAGTGCAGGCTGGCCTCCAACTCATGGCGATCCTCCTGCCTCAGCTTCCCTAGTGCTGGGATTACAGGCGTGCACCACCACGCCTGGCTTCTCATGGGACACTTGTCCCTTTCTCCCTGTGTCCCAGCTGTCCCTAGGAACAGACCCCCCTACACACACCAGTTTGGTGGGCGGCAGGGCTGACACCCACCTAAGCCCCAGCCAATATACACAGCAGCCCCAGCCAGTGATGCTGGAGAAGTCAGAGACCCAAGCAGGGCCACCTCACCCAGGCCCTCCCCGGGTGTGGGTCCACCGGTGATTACCGCAAAGCTGGCTGGGGAGCCGACGCTGACGCTGTTCACCCTGGCAAAGGCCTGTGGGGGCCCCTGGCTCTCGTCCTGGCCAGGCCTTCGGCTCAGGGCCTCCCTGTGGGCCTCGGCCAGGTCCCGGGCCTGCTTCTCCTTGTCACGGGCGTGCAGCTGGTGCAGGGCCTCCTCCACCTGCTTCATCAGCGCTTTGTGGTCATTCTGCAGGCCTGCGGGAGAGGTACTGGTCAGCCCGGGAGGACAGTGCGGACTCCAGACACCTGCGTGCTCCTGAGAACTCAACAAGTGCTGTGATAGCCAGGCACCGGGCCACAGGCAGAGGATGAATCTAGGAATGAGTATGGGGCCTGCCCTGAGCCTGCTGTCCAGGACCGTGGCTGGGGGATAGCTCACCACGGTAACATCCAGGGACTGCTGAGGGCCCAGGCAGCAGGAACCTGACCTTGCTCATCTAGAACATCCAGCTGAGACCCAAAAGCTCAACAGAAGCAAGGTGCTGCCCAGCTTATGACAGTGTTATGCACACACGGCCACTCTGCCTAGAGAAGCCCCACAAGGGAGGGCCCCTGAGAGCACCCAGAATCCCTGGCAATGCCTGGCACATCATCAGCACAGGATAAGCCACCAGGCAACAACCCTCATCAGAACATGACAGCTCTATTCAGTTCAGAAGGGTTTTCCTGGGCAGGTATTTCTGCAGTTACAATAAATGCACCACATTCACATAAGCTGTTAATTGGGGTAACTGAGTACAAAGTACAAGGGACCTCTCTAAATTATTTTCTCATTTTTTTTCTATTTTCCCCATTTTTCTGTAAATCTTAAACTATTCTAAAAATAAAGTCTATCAGTGCTCTGGGAGGCTGAGGCAGGCGGAAAAGTTCAAGCCAAGTGGGCTACACACTGAGACCCTGTCTCAAAAAGAACAATAAATGAAAATAAAAAGGGGTGGAGATGAAGCTCAGTGTAGAGCACCTGAGGTCAACCCCGGTAATGGAAGGAGAAAGAGGGAGGCAGGAGGGGGAGGGGACAGAAACGGGGCGGAGCTGGGAACACGGGCGACCTCTAGAGGCGGAGAGGCAAGGAAATGGGTGCCCCGAGCCTCCAGGAGGTGCCAGCCCTGACGCTGCCTGACTGCAGTCGGATGAGGCCCACTCCGACTCCTCACCACCCCAGTGAGATGGTCAATCTGCGTGATGTGAGGCTGAGGCAGGAGGATTGTACGTTAGAGACCAGCCTGGGCAACTTGGCAACTTAGTAAGACCCTGACTCACAGAAAAAGAAGGAAGGGAAGAAGGGAGGGAAGGAAACGAGGGAGGGCAGGAAGGAAACGAGGGAGGGCGGGAAGAAGAGTAGGGGAGGGGAGGGGAGAGAAGAGAAGAGAACAGAAAAAGGGCTGGAGATGCAGCTCTGCGTGAAGGTTCTGCGTTTAATTCCCAGGCTCACCAAAAAAAAAAAAGTGTGGTTTTGAGCCACAAAGTCTGTAGTCATTTGTCACAAAGAACTATTCCTCTTCTCAACCTCTATTTCCTGCTAGTTCCTTAGTTAAAAACAAATAAATACCTATCAGGCTGGCCTTGAACTCACTATGCAGCCCAAGCTGAACTGGAACTTGCTGTGATCTTCCTGCCTCAGCCTCTGGAGTGCTGAGGTCATGGCATGTGGCACCACGCCTGCTACATGAAGGATTTTATCTAGGAAAGCAAGATGCCCACAGTGGGGCACCTTCTCCAGCTTCCCTGGCAGGCAGAAGGACCTTTGAGGGGCAGAAGAACTGGCAGAGGGCACAGGGCAGGAGTCCCAGCAGGGACTTTAAAGCGCAAGCACGCATGTGTGTGTGTGCGTGTGTGTGCGGACACGTGTTGGGGGTGCCATGGGCCTTCTCGCTCCCCCTGCTCCCTGCGCGGAACACGGGCTGCTGACCTCCAGGTGGATGGGAGCCAGCTCCTCTAGCCCAGCTCCCAGCGCCCCAGTGAGAACCTCTGTCCTTCATGCGTGAGGGGCCAGAGCTGTCCCCGTGACAGCCGGGCCTGGTCGTAACACACGTGTGCTGGACTGGACTAGGATATGGGGCCTTGGGCTGCTGCAGCTCTTCCAGTGCGGCCCCGGGAGGGACGGCCCTGAAGACAAAGCCAGAAACAGCCCCAGAGTCTAACACAGCCGTTCTTGGTCCCTCGGCTGGGGCGGAGACAGCCTCGTGAAGGCAAGAGAGGTGACAGAAGCACTGACGCTAGCGTCTGCGTCCCCGGGCCACTCACAGATGATGTTGTGCCGGGCCGTGCGTACTTGGTACAGGTCCACGTCCGCGCGCGGGTAACCCTCGCAGTCCACCAGCGGCTCGTCCATCCCGACGTCTTTTTGCTGGAGGGAAGACATGAGGTTGGACAGACGTCATGGGCAGAACATCCTCCAGACGCCATTCACCCCGAGTCATAATAAATAAAGCTGACAGCAGCTGGACACGGCGGCGCACACCTGTGACCCCAGCACTCTGGGAGGCTGAGGCAGGAGGACTGCAAGTTTGATCCCAGCCTCGGCAACCTAGCAACTTATTGAGACCTTGTCTCAGAATGAATATAAAAGGGCTGGGGGTGTAGCTCTGTGTGAAGGCCCTGGGTTTAATGCTCAGTATTGAACAATAAAATAAAATAGGGCTGGGGATTTAGCTCAGTGGTGCTGTCGCCTGCTTCGCAAGCGGAAGGTCCCGAATTTGATCCCTGCTACCAAAAAAAGAAAAAGAAAAGAAAAGAAAGGCGACAGTAACAGGAAGTCCTCAGTGCAGACGAGGGGCCTTACTCAGGTCCTCAGCTCACCTTGAAGGTGGGCGCTATTTAATTTCTAATAACACAAGCAATGCAGGGGCACACTCTCCTTTTTGAAACTAGGACAGTGTACCTGAAATCAAAGACTCTTCCGGGGCCCTCCCATTGGGCAGCTGGCATCTGCCCCAGGGAATGAGAGCCTCAAAGAGCACCCAGCCATGGCCTTCTGGAAATCAGGTGACCAATGGGCCAGGGATTTAGCTCAGCGGTTACGCTGCCTGCCTCGAAAGCACAAGGACCTGAGTTCGATCCCCAGTACCAAAAAAAAAAAAAAGCAGGCCAGGCGTGTGGAACACACCTGTAACCCCAATGCTCAGGAGGCTGAGGCAGGAAGGTCACATTGAATCTGAGGTCAGCCTGGGGTACTTGGTGAGACTCTATCTCAAAAAACCAAAAAAAATGAATGAATGGCAAAAGGAGACTTGGGACACAGAGCCACAGAGAGAAAACCCTAAGAAATGGTTTCCTTCAGAGACTGAAGTCACAGAGCTGCAGCCCAGGGCTGTCGGCAGCCACCAGAAGCTGGAGAGGGGCAAGGAACAGAGTCTCCTCGGAGCCTCCAAAGCCAGTCCTGCCACCACCTTGGCGTTAGGCTTCTGGCCTCCAGGTGGGAGGGTGAAGGTCTTGGTCTGAGACACCATCTCTGTGGTGACTGTCAGTGCAGCCCGGGGAACACGTGCATTCAAGGTAACAAATGCTGGCTGCAACTGCCCAGCTGTGTGGGTGCTCAGGACAGGGACCAGTTCACTCTCCTCTGGGGACCCCCAGACCTGTTTCCCAAAGAGCAAGCACCTAATAGGTAGAAGCCAGGTGTGGAGGTGCACACCTACAATCCCAGCACTTGGGAGGCCAAGGCAGGAGGGTTACCACAAATTCGAGGTCACCCTGGGCTACACAGTGAGTTCAAGGCCATCTTGAACTACACAGTGAGACCCTGTTTCAAAAACAAAAACCGAAAAACCCCACAAAAACCAAACCAAACAAAACAAAAAAACAAAGAGCAAGACCTGCACCACTGGCAGCTCATATACAGGGCATTAAAGAATCCTAACCTGAAAGGACCCATTCCTTTTCTGAATCTTAGCAGTTGAGGACAATGTCCCCAGTTGGTGCTGGTCTTTACAACTGTCCCAGATTCCGTACTGACTCTGGGCCTCTCCACACCCTTATTCTGAGACAAGCCCAGGCTGGCCTCGAACTGGTGACCCTCCTGTTTCAGCCTCCTGAGTAGCTAGCATGACAAGTATATGACACCATACTCATCATCTGGGCCTCTCCATTTTAAAAAGTTTTAATGAAATATAATTCACATACCATACCACTGACCCACATAAAATGTACAATTCAACAGTATTTAGTATATTCACAGCCTTGTGCAACCATGTCTACCGTCAATTTTAGCATATTTTCATCACACCTTCAAAAGCAATCCCACACCCATGTGCAATTACTCCCATCTCTGCTGCCCTCAATTCCCACCCTCAATTCCCAGGGAAGCACTACAATACTCTCTGTGGATCTACCTATTCCAGGCGTGTCAGTCAGCTTCCCAGCACTGTAACAAAACACCTGGGACAATCAACTTCAAAAGAGAAAAGGTCTGTTTGCCTCCCAGTTTTGGAGCCTTCAGAGGACATTCAAGATCTAAACCTTAGCAGCAGACATTTTCCATAAACAGAATTATGCAGCATGTGGTCTTTATGACTAACTTCCTTCACTGAGCACACTGTCCAGGGTTCTTAATGTGACAGCAAGATTTTTTTGGGGGGGTACTGAGAATCGAACTCTGGACCTTGCGCTTGTGAGGCAGGCGGCCGAACCACTGAGCTGAATCCCCAGTCCTACAGCATGATTATTAATTACATTACCATCAATACTTCACTCCTTTTTTTTTTTTTTTTTTGTATTAGGGATCAAACTTGGGTCCTTGTGCTTGCGCAGCAGGCGGCGAAACCACTGAGCTAAATCCCCAGCCCACTTCACTCCTTTTTACTGCCAATTTATATCCCATGGTATGGACAGACCACATTTTATTTATCCATCCATTGAACAATTCTGGGTTGTTTCCACTTCTTGACTCTATCAACGATGCTATAAATGTCAATAATGGTGAGCATCACTTGTAGGAGGAATTGCTGGATTATGTGGTAACTCTGTATCTAACCTTTGGGAGAACTGCCAGGCTCTTTCCCCAGCAGCATCACTGTTTTACATTCCCAGAACCAACATATGAAAGCCCTAATTTCTCCATATCCTATTTTTTATTATAACTATCCCAAGGGGTATGAAGTGCTAGCTCACTATTTCCCTAATAGCTAATAATGTTCAGCATTACTTCCTGTGCTTTCTGACCATTTGTGTTGATCCCATTTCTTTGAAAAAGTATCGATTCAAACCCTTTGCCTATTTTGTTTGTTTCTTTTTGTTTGTTTCTGAGACAAGTTCAGGCTGGCCTTGAATTCACTATGTAGCCCAGCAACCAGCCTGCCTCAGACTCCCTAGTGCTGGGATTATAGGCAGACACCACTAAATCTGGTTTTTTGTCTATTTTTAAACTAGGCTATTTGTCTTTTTGAGCTGTAAGTGCTCTCATTATATTCTAGACACTAGCCCCTTAAGAGATTAAATAATTTACAAATGGGGCCGGGGATGTAGCTCAGTGGCACTGTGCCAGCCTCTCAAGTGCAAGGTCGTAAATTCAATCTCGAGTACCAAAAAAAAAGAGAAGAAATAATTTACAAATATTTCTCCCATTCTGTGACTTGTCTTTTCATGTTCTTGGCTATGTCCTTTGAAACTATATATATATATATTTATTTATTTATTTTTGGTTTTTTGAGGCAAGGTGTCGCTATGTAGTTCATGGTGTCCCTGAACTCACTATGCAGCCCAGGCTGGCCTCAAACTTGCAGTGGTCCTCCTGCCTCAGCCCCCCAAGTGCTAGGATTACAGGCGTGTACCACCACGCCTGGGTCAATCAAAAAAATTTTAAGCCTAATTTATCATTTTTTCTTTCATAGCTTATGGTTCTGGTGCTGGAGAAAAGAAGTCGAGACCTAATCCAAGGTCATGAAGGCTTACTCCTATGCTTTATTCTAAGAGATTTATTATAGTTTTAGCTCTCTATTTTTAAAAAATAGAGTAGGAATTCAAACTTAAAGCCTTGAGCAACAGAAGCTACAGTAGCCAAAAGCAATTAACACACAGCATCACAGTAATAAACATTTTAACCTTATTTATGAGATGAGATTTTCATTTTCCATATGCAGGAGTAATAAATTTTCCTTTTAGAACAAATTTTTAAGTGAACAAGTGGGCCAATATCAAAGGAATACCCCTACAAGAGGAGTATGATTCTGCTAGTAGTAGAAAAGTAACTCAAGTTTTAGAAATTGCTGGGAATCTGCTTCAAAGTCCAGGTTTTGGATTTAACAGGCCGGAGATCTGCTTCCCACTTGAGACAGAATAAGCGACTTCCCTTCCCAATCTTCAGGGGCAAACACTAACTTCCAAGTGCGGTCATGAGAACTTCATGAGGTAACATAGGAAGCAGCATCCTCCAGGCAAGAGGCAGCGCGCAGCAAATGATATCCCGGCCTCCCTGCCATACTTTAGCTTGGTGGACCGCCTAAGTGCATCCTAGCCCAGCCTATTTGAGGGGAATTAATTTACCCTTTCTCTGCACGTTGGTCTGCGACTTTCCACTAGACAGCATTAAAAGAAAAACAGAACTATCCGCTTTGTGTCGGGACAGACCCGGGCACTAGCCCCACCACTGCCGCTGCCCAAGTGGGCAAAAGCTTGCCCCAATTTGGGCCACGGTTTCCTCCTTTTAAGGACAATGAGCCTTATCTGTGAATGAAACGGCAGCCCTTGGAACATGGTCAGGGGTTGCTAGAAATACAGAGTCCTCGTCCCAGTAGGAATTTGCATTTTAACAAGATCCTCAAGCGACTCTTACAAATAAGTATGGGAGTGTAAGGAGCTCTGGCTGGGTGTGGCGGTCCAGAGCTGTAGTCCCAGCACTCGGGAGGCTGAGGCAGGAAGATCGCCGCGAGGTCGAGGCCAGCCTGGGCTACACAGTGAGTTCATGGACAGCCTGAACTACATAGCAAGACTTTGTCTCAAAACAAAACCAAAAACGACCTAATGCCTGACAGCCGAGCACATAGGAAAGGCGCCGCAGACGGGCCTGGGGTCAGAACGAGCGCTCCGCCAGCGTCTTCGCGGACACCACCTGGGGCCGACAGAAGCCGCAACTGCGGCGCCCTGGGCCGCGCGAGGCAGGAAGATCGAGGCTGAGCCCCCGGAGCCCCACACTCACGCCCTCCAGGACATCATAGTTGGCCTTGATTTGCGCCTCGATCTCCTCCTTGCGCCGCATCAGCTCCTGGATGTCGCTGACAGCCGCCGCTCTGGCCTCCGAGGAGCCTTCGCTCAGCCTGGCTCCGTCATCCGACATCGTGGAACTAGGCCTTGGAACTCGGACACCGGTTACCCGGCTACGGACGCCGGAGGAGACTGAGGCTACGGCTCCCGCCGTAGGCCAAAACACTGCAGCCATCTGTGCGAGGATAAGCGAGGGGCGGGGCGATGGCAGTGGGCGGGGTCATCGGAATCCCTTGGTTCACTCCCTAACACCCAGGGGAGGGGAAAAAAAATAAAAAGGAAGAAATACAATAACTAATAATCTGTATTCCTTGACGTCCTATATTCTTTCTCTTTTCGCCTCAAAAAAGCTACAAAAGGAGCCGAGTGTGGTGGTGCATGCCTGTAATCCCAGCATTATAGGAGGCTGAGACAGGAAGCATGAGACTTGGAGCCCTGCCAGGGAAATTTAGTGATTTAGCAAGAACTCTGTCTCAAAATGAAAATTTAAAACAAACAAAAAAGGATGGAGATGTAGCTCAATGTGAAGACCCTGGATTCCATCCTTAGTTAAAAAAAAAAATCTATAAAAGATATGTTGGAATGGGCCTGGGGATTTAGCTCAGTGGTTTCACTGCCTGCTGCGCAAGTTCAAGGACCCGAGTTGGATCCCCGGTAACAAAAAAAAAAGATATCTTGGAACAATTTGGAGAAATTTGAATATGGACAGTAAAGTATCAATACAAAATTTCCTGACTATAGTACTTGAACTGTACTCATATAAGACTATGTCCTTAGAACATGCACCGTAGTATTTAGGGACAAGAGAGATGATTTAGCCGTGGTGGTACATGCCTGTACTCCCAACACTTGGGAGGCTGAGGCAGGAAGATTGCTGAAAATTAGACTACTTAGGGACACCCTTTCTCAAAAAAATAAAAGAAAAGAAAGAGAGAGATGACTTATTTTCAAATGGCTCTGAAAATATCTGAATATATATTTGTAGACAAATGAATGATAAATGATAAATGCAGCAAATGTAAATAATTGGTGACTATAGATGAAGTATATGAAGATTCTCTATATTGGTTTTGGAATATTGTGTAGGTTTGAAGTCCTTTTTTTTTCTTTTTTTGGTACTGGGGATCAAACTTGAGACCTTGTGCTTGTGAGGCTGAAGTCTTTTTGACAAAAAAAGTTAATACAGGGCCAGGGATTTAGCTCAGTGTTTCCGCCACCTGCCTCACAAGCAGAAGGACCCAAGTTCAATCCCTGGTACCAAAAGAAAAAAAAAGTTAATACATAATTTTTCTCAGTTTTTAAAACAGTTTATTAGTACATGTTTGTAGTACATAATGATCACATTCTGCGAGGAGAACTGGTCAACTGTGTACACTGCATTCCGTCCATCAATAATGAACTCACTGAGAAAGGAAATAGGGAAACAATACCACTCACAGTAGCATCAAGAAAAATGAAAAATAGGGGCCGGGGATTTAGCTCAGTGGTTTCACCACCTGCTGTGCAAGCTCAAGGACCCAAGTTCGATCCCCAGTACCAAAAAGAAACATGAAAAATAAAATACCTAGGAATTAATCTAACCAAGGAAACAAAAGAGCTCTACAACAAAAACTACAGTACTCTGAAAAAGGAGATTAGAGGATGTCAGACAGTGGAAAGATTTGGCCAGGCATGGTGGCACATGCCTGTAATCCCAGCGCTCAAGAGGCTGAGGCAGGAGGATCACTGTGAGTTCGAGGCTACCCTGAACTACATCGCAAGACTCTGTCTCAAGAAACCAAAAAAATAACAACAAAAATGGATCTATACCAGGCACAGTTGTACATGCCTGCAGTCTCATCTACTTTGAAGGCTGAGACAGGAGGATCCCTTGTCTTAGGAGTTCGAGATTAGCCTGGGCAACACAGTGAGGCCCCATCTCAAAGAAAAACAAAAACCCATATCTAACAGCAACCAAACAGCCTTATGCTCTGCTTCCTAGAATCTGTAATTTCAGACACCCGGACAGACAGAAGACACCAGGGTTGTGAGGCAGAGGCTGTGGATAGAGCATTCCCTTCTGAGCCAGGGCCAGGATCCAAGTTGGGGACAGAGGGGTGAGGGCCGCTCAGGGCGCCCCTCAAGTCCCGTTATCAGGGCCTTCGAGGCTGGGCGGGGCCACCGGGAGCTGGAGCTGCTCTTATCTTTTGAGGCACAGAGCTGACAGCCTGAGCTTTGGAGTGACAGCAGCTGTCTCACGGGCATGACTGCTTGGAGGGTCTCTGCGGCCCCCTGGCCACCACCGACTGTGATCGTGGGCCCCTCCCGTTCCCCTCAGAGCCTCAAGGTCCTATCTTTTTGCATCATGGGGCCCAGAATCTGGGGACCTAGAGGAGCCACCTGTCAGTTCTTGTCTCTCCAGTCTCTATTCCTCCTCTAACATTAGCATCTGACCTTTCCTTGGGGAAACCATCCTGGCCTCCTCTCAGCCTCCGTCCATGAGGTTGAGGGCGGGGCATGTGAGCTAGAGCTCTGATTGGGTCAGGGGACGGTCACATGAGCAGAACTGGCCAATGGATGTTTGCCCTGGGACTGGTTTGAGAAAGAGCCTCAGCTCCAGGTTGGCTGAATTGATGGAATGGCCAACGATGACCACACCTGAGTCCAGGTAGGGAAAATGCACTTTTGGGTGATGCCAGCACAGTGAAGAGGAGCTGGCGAACATTTTCTGAAGAGTTTGAGAGTAAATACTTCAGCTTTTGTGGATCATGGTTTTTGTTGCAACTCCTTAATTCTGTAGCCTGAAAGCAGCAATAATATAATATGTAAACGAGTGGGCATGACTGTGTGCCAATAAAGTTTTATGTACAAAAAAAGATGATGTGTAAGAAGTGACAGCTGTCTAGATTTGAATTAAAGGCCATAGCTTCCCTACCCCTGCCCCAAACATTGAGGAAAACAGTAAATACAACCTTGATTTTTAGCACTTGCCGGAGCCTGTGTTGTAAACTTTCCCTGTGGCCAGTTCCAAGCCAAACTGAGGTCACTGAACTTGAGTTGAGAAAGACAGGCACAGTGTCACGTCACACAGGTACAGCAGGTGCAAATAACCCCAGAAGGACATATGCAATACTGCAAAGGAGGAAAATTATTAGGAAGTGATGAGATTTGAGCGTTTATTGACTTTCTTTTCTTTTTTTGGGGGGGTACTGGGGATCGAACTCAGGACCTTGCACTTGAGAGGCAGTGGAACCACTGAGCTAAATCCCTGGCCGTTTATTGACTTTATTTACTTTTTTTTTTTAAAACAGACTCTTGCTATGTAGTTCAGGTTGTCCTTGAACTCACTATGTAGCCCAGGCTGGCCTTGAACTCCAGGCAATCGTCCTGCCTCAGCCTCCTGAGTGCTGGGTTTACAGATATGCGTCACCATGCCCTGCTTTCACTTTAATATTTTATTTAATTTTTGTGTTTTGGGGGGTTTTTTTGAACTGGGGATGGAACTTGGGACCTTGCGCTTGCGAGGCAGGCGGTGGAGCCACTGAGCTAAATCCCCGGCCCCTTTTAAACTTAATTTTTAAGTATAGTTTCAGTAGTGCTGTTTAAAAGCTGAGTCACAAGCTTCCTGAGGAAACCGGATGTGCTCTCAGGAGTGGCCCCTCTGCTTTGGTGGCCTGAGATTTAGGGGGCAGAGGCGCCTCAATGGTACAGAGGAAAACAGCAGCATCAAAGCCAGGGCACATCAAAGGGGTTTTCTTTCCTCTCTGATCACCAGCACATCAGAAGCTGCATGGCTTGCACAAGCCCAGGGTGAAGTTTCCCAATCACTGTTCCCTGTCAGGCTCAACCTGAGTCCTTGCTGTGCAGGATCCCCCACCTGGGGATGTCTCCTACCTCCCAGTTTGGAGTGCAACATTCATGCTTGGCCAGGACAATAAGGGAGTTTGCATGGCCTCTGATTGGCTGAATTCACTGCTTAACCTCTCTAAGCCCTCCTTCCCCACTGCCCCTCCCCTACTGAGGAGGCTGTCACCTATGGGATGGGGATGCTATGTGTCCAGTGCTTTGTATTCAGCCTAACAACCCTCTGAAGTTGGCCTTATTGTACACATTTTACAGTTGAGGAAACTGGGGCTCCATGAAGCTAGGCAGTTCATACCAGCAGGTGGAGTTGGGATTTGTTTCTTCTTACCCTCAATCCTGGTTTCTCACCTTGCCAGGGGTTTCGTTGCCTCTGAACACCTTCAGGATATTCTCTTGTCTGTTTAGAGACAGGGTCTTGCTATGTAGTTCAGGCTGGCCTTGAACTCACTGTGTAGCCTAGGATGGCCTCACCTCATGGCAATTCTCCTGCCTCAGCCTCCCAAGTGCTAAGATTACAGGTGTGCGCCACTATACCTGGACATTTTTTGTGTGTGTATGTGTGGTTTTTTTACTTTAAAATGGGCTAGTTTTGTTTTATGAATCTCATCTCAATAAAATAAATTGCATTGGTTTTAATTTTTTCTTCATTTTATTTTTGAGAGAGAGACAGTGTTTTACTGTGTTGCCTAGGGTGGCCCCAAACTTCTGGGCTCATGGGATCCCCTCATGGGATCCCCCGAATAGCTGAGCCTGCAGGCACACCACCACACCCAGGTGTGCATTTTAATGTTGGGAAATAATGTTTTTATTGAAGATTACTATACATGGAAAGTTGCCTCTAAGTGTACCACTCTGAATTTCTGCAAACAGAACACATCTTAAGATGTACTATGTACATGAAGCAGCTCCCCACGACAAGTGGATCCATTACATACTACAAGCATGTACTATAAAAGCAAAGTTGAACACTCCTGTTCGACCAACTCAGGCATTTAATTTTGTATCTTAGAACAGAAATGGGGTTGGGGACGTACTTAGAAACAGAGCAATTGCCCTGCATGCTCCAGGGCCATTGCCAGCACCACCAAAAGAAAAGGCAAAAGAAAGCAAACTCGCTGATAACCCTTTATCCATAAACACTCAGGCAGAGGTGTCTGTGTTCCCTTGTGCGTAGATAAGATACTTCTCTGTACATTTTCTTAACATTGTACTTTGTAGGTGGCGATAGAAGAGCATCCAGGGTGATCTGTCTCACTTGAATGTAGTTTTTTTTGTTGATTTTTTTTGGTACCAGGGATTGAACTTGGG